TAATTCATCTTCTCTGCAGCCAGATTGGCAGGTAATACTTAAGTAAATAGTAATAACTATAATTTGAAAGTAGATATTTTCTCTGGAATGGATTATAAACTATGCCATTTTTAATATTGTGGTATTATTGTTTTATATTTTTATTATCATTACATCCATGTCAAAAACTCGACGTTCAACATCGATAAGTTGTGCCCCCCCTGAGAAACAATCCTGGCTCCGCCCCCATGAGGTGTAGCTTGATAAGGAGAGTTCCAAACTGAAATCTCCTAAGGTAGTTTGGACATCTAAATTTATGGATTGAATATTTTCCCCGAAATTGATGATTGAATGAGTTTTTGGGTCAGCCACTGAAGAACTCATGGATGCACACAACCGGCTTTCAACTGATCCCTAAAACTATGGAAACTGAATATTGCACACACTGTGCATTGCTATCAATTTCAACAAATACCTAAGAAACTGTACATTGCACACACCGTGCAGATTTATCGGATCAACCATCATTGCTATATGTTAAAAAAGTGCTATATAGATGAAGGCAAATACTATCCTAGATGGCAAACATATGGAATACCCTGTTAGATGCCTAACCAGCATGTGGTTTGTTCTTTTTAAACGACTCTGAACTCTATATCCGTTTATCAAATTTTTAAAGAGGAAGGCATCCTTTGCATGCAGAATCTTATAGATTTTTCCATACAATGGCTTCTCTTCAAGAAAATTGTTTTCTCATTCTTCTCTTTATTTTTGCAGCATCATTTTACCAGGAAACATGACATGTCAATAAAACATGAGCAATGGATGGCTCAACATAGATGCATTTACAAGAGTAATGAAGAGAAAGAGATGGGATTTAAGGTGTTCAAAGACAATGTGGAGTACATGGAAGGCTTCGACAGAGCTGCTAAAATAACAAATACGAGCTTGGGATCAACAAATTCGCAGACTTGACCAATGAAGAATTCCTTGCTACGTACACCAGAAACTCTATACCATCCTTTCAGACATCATCAACAACGTCGTTCATGTTCGAAAAAGTGAAAGCACTACCAGCTAGTCTTGACTGGAGAGCAAGGGGAGCCGTTACCCCAGTTCAGGACCAAGGACAATGTGGTTAGTCATATTGATACCAAACAGTGTTTACTAATATGATTCAACAATCATCTTTCCTTTCATCCTTCATTAAGTAATCCTATTTTTTATGAATGCGTGGGAAGTTGCTGGGTATTTGGAGCAGTGGCTGCTATTGAAGGCCTTGTTAAGATCAAAACTGGAAATTCAGTTTCGTTATCTGAGCAACAAATAATAGATTGTATAAGTACTTCTGATGCCTGCAATGGTGGCTGGATGGAGCAAGTTTTTGAATTTGTCAAGAAAAATCGTGGCCTCGCCTCAGACAAAAACTATCCTTATCGGGCAAAAAAAAAATGGAATTGTAGTGGTATTAAGTCATCCTCTCAACTGGCCATCACCGTATTCCAAAAAATAATGAGAGAGCACTGTTAAAGGCCGTGGCTAACATACCTGTCTCTGTTGCAATTGACGGAAGTCTGTTCCAGTTCTACAAGAATGGGATTCTAACCGGCAAGTGTGGGACCAATCTAAATCACATTGCTCTAGTAGTTGGGTATGGTACAAGTATAGATGGTACTAAGCATTGGATATTGAAGAATTCTTGGGGTCCAGACTGGGGGGAAAAAGGGTACATCACTGACATCAGGGTGCAAAGGGGCATCAAAGTCAGAGAAGGCATGTGTGGCATTGCTAAACATGCTTCATATCCAACAAAATAACTTTTTAGTAGCAATTGAATTCCCTCGCTTTCCTATTTGGAATTAGTTTATCTATCAAGATTGGCAGTTTAATAATGGAAAATCTGGGATGTAAGTTCTTGCTATTGAACTAGTGTACCTAAATCGAAATTGGAATGAATGTTAAAAATGGAGACCATTAGTGCTTTCTTAACTCAAATTATTGTGAATAAAAGAGGAAATAAAATATGTACTATGTGAACTGTCACTAGGAAATGAGTAGGGTAGTAGACAAGATTATGGGTCACCATATTCTCATTTCTTGAAAAAATAATGCTATATAGCACCAGTTTAGGTGGTCACCCATGATACTCGGGAATGTAATGACATGTATTACAACTTACTTGAATCATCTTCAACTCGTCAAGCTTCTCTTTGCATTCAAATCTTTGTAATTTGAGGTAATATTAATGTTTCATTGTTACCAAAATTCGGTAGACAATAGACGTCAAAGCGGCTTTATCCCCAACCTAGCTATTGTTAGAGAATTTTTTTATATAAAGCTTGTAACCTTCTATTATGAGATCTAATTCTTTGACTATAACTTAACGCATGATTAATATTCCTAATATTAATTTAACTCCTATATGTATTTACAATTCCTCCCTATTATTATTTTGATTATTCATGTTATTATTTCATAAATGGTGCATCTATAAAAAGGAGTACTCGAAGAAGATTTCTACTCACCAAAATAATAACACATCTATTCATATATTATATACGTATATGTTATATTAGCGTTTTTGGGCAACAAGAAAAATGCTTGTTGAATCTCTCCCTATGGTCGTGCAAATTGAAGGAGAACTAGATTTGAGTTTTCAAAGTTTTATCTTGAAATCGTGTAATTTCAATATTACTCACACGAAAATGAGGTCAAAAGACTTTAGGACATTATCTTTGACACGACTCTCCAAAAAGTCAGCCTTTCTAAACTTTAACTTTTATTTTCTAATCGATAATTCTATATTATTGTTTTTGTTTATTTATAATTTCATTTTGTTATATATATTTTCTGTATAGAAATTACTTTTTTTTTCCTAACAGCTATTTCTCTAGGCACATTTGTTCCAAACTTATTACACCACCCGAAATGAAAGTTGGACGTAATTGAACTTTTAGTCTCATAGTAAAATTCTTAAAACCCACATTTAGTGCTGTGAATCTGAATTTTTAGTATGTGATTTTGTAAAAAATAATTTTTTTAAAACATGTGATTAAAAATAAGTTTCTACGGCGTGAAAAAAAAAAAAATATTACGCCCCTGTTTGGTAAGGATTAAAATTAGACTTTTAGTGAATTTTTATAAAAATTAATGAAATGTATGGTTCAAAAGTTGTGAGACTTATGAAACATGTGATTAAAATTGATTGTTGACTTTGACTTAAATTAAAATTTTAATTTTAATTGGTACCAAATAAGGGCTACAATTCACTAAGTAAATCAATTATGAAAATGCGCGCTCAATTGAACAAAATTTACCTACAAGCGTTCACTAAGCATTGAACCCACCAATAGTCTTTTCTCTTGCATTGCCATTGCCGAAAGATACATTCCCACATCTGGCTTCAATTATCCCAATGTTAATATTTCTATCAAGCTCCTGTTGAAAAATAATGGAGAATACACTGAGAATCGAAGAATAAACAAACCAATGTAGTAGCAACCAATCACGAAATTGAAGACAAGAAAATTAAACTTGAAGAATTCCACCAAAGACTTGATCATGATACCGTTGTCCTCAAACGATATTTGCCCCCTTGTGGATTAAGAATGCTTGAAGGGATGATGGCAAATGGTTTGCAAGATTTAAACAAGCCTTGCAAGGATTAATACTCAAGCAATTAAGTATAATCCTCCAAAATTTAAGAACACAAAGGAAAATATGAATATGAAAGAAGAACAATGACTTTGATCTTTAATTGGAATGTATTTATGAACTTATCTTGTTTTTCATATATAAATCCTTGAACACCATTGTCCTATATATAGGCAATGATCAAATGCACGAAATAGTGCCAAAAAATAAATGAAAAGACACCAAGTTCAAAAACCAAATGGGAAAAAACGGCCAAAAAAACTGCCAGAAAATTGTACCATACGGCTGCATGGTACAAACCCATGCAGCCGCATGGTATAAAACATACCGGGACAAAATGTCCCGGTATATAGCCATGCGGCCGCATGGACCAATGAACCATGCGGCCGCATGGTTCATTATATAGATATATTTTTAATTCTTTTCCTATTTTAATTCCAATAACCATTTTATTAGTTTTTGAACAACTTATTTCCAACAATCCCCCACTTGTTCAAAATCTAATAAAATCTCATATTCAAAATTGTACGATACTAATGCATAAGGATTAGATATCTTTCGATTTGAATCTAACCATAGTGTAATCCAAACAAAGCAAAGTCGGAATCAAAGGTAGCATGAAGCTTTGAACCATTTGTTCCAAATGACAATACCGGTTCGAACACACACACGAGTATCACGTGTTCTCAAATTTCTCAAACTCGCTTAGCGCTATTATGGCCTTGCGCTAATCCTTTTTTCAATAAACTTTTAAGAGAGAAACTCTAACTCTCTATTGAGGCGGCACCACCTCGAAGTTTATTTAGGTGAAGTTCTTCCAGTATCTATGTTACTTTTAAGATACTTGTTCTTAATACTGAACTTCATTAAGAGTTTAAAACTCATCCATCACTTCAGTAACAACCAGCGTTATAACTAGGATAGGGTTATTGCGGATATCAATAATGCTGAAACTATCCACATGTCGAATGACTTGTTATTACCCTTTGAACCCATGAATTACTTTTGAGTAATGATGGGTAGGGTTGCCATCACTGGTGGACCTTTTTAGTTTAAGAGTTTCAACCCCATCCTACTTGTAGTAGAATTTACTAAATCTCTATTTAGAGGTTTAGTTAGAGGATCCGCTAAATTCTCAATTGATTTTACATAATTTAGGGAAATTATTCCACTCTTGATTAATTTCCTTATGTAATCGTGTCTTAGACTCATATGTCTAGACTTTCCATTATACACTTCATTATATGCTTTTGCTAACGTGGCTTGACTATCACACATGATAGGTATAGAAGATATTATCTTCGGTCCCAAAGGTATCTCGTATAAGAGTTCCTTAAGCCACTCAGCCTCTTTCCCAGTTTCCGATAGTGCAACGAATTCAGATTCCATAGTTGAGTGTGTTATACATGTCTGTTTCTTTGATTTCCAAGAAACAGCCCCACCACCAAGAGTAAACACCCAACCTGAAGTGGATTTACTTTCACCCGTACTAGATATCCAACTAGCATCGGTAAATCCTTCCAATACAGCCGGGAATTTAGTATATTGTAGACCTAAATTCTTGGTTTTCTTCAAATATCCAAGAACTCTTCCAATGGCCTTCCAATGGTCATTGCTCGGATTACTAGTAAACCTACTAAGTTTACTAATTGCAAACGCTATATCCGGTCTCGTGCATTGAACAGCATACATGAGACTACCAATGGCACTTGCGTATTCCAGTTGAGCAATTTCTCTTCCATCATTTTTCATAAGCTTTGAACTTGGATCAAGTGGGGTACTACAATCTTTTATGTTCAAATGTTTGAACTTATTTATCACACTCTCTATATAGTGTGATTGACTTAAATAAAAACCCCCACTATTTTTGGTAACCTTGATACCTAAAATAGTATCCACTTTTCCAAGATCCTTCATCTTAAAAATGGAAGATAGAAACCTCTTCGTCTCTTTTATCCCATCCATGTGATTACACATAATCAACATGTCATCAACATATAGACAAATAAATATCACATAATTTTCACATACTTTACAATATAAACATTTGTCTACACTATTATGTTTAAAGCCAAAAGAAATTATCGCTAAGTCAAACTTCTCATGCCATTTCTTAGGTGCTTGCTTCAAACCATATAATGATTTTACTAACTTGCACACCTTATGTTCATTTCCAGGTAAAATGAACCCTTCAGGTTGTTCCATATAGACCTCCTCATCGAGATCCCCATTCAAGAATGCCGTCTTGACATCCATTTGATGAACATGCAAATCATATATCGAAGCTAGAGCAAATAATATCCTAATAGATGTTATTCTAGCTACCGGTGCATATGTGTCAAAATAATCGATTCCTTCCTTTTGTCGATAACCTTTGGCTACTAATCTAGCCTTAAAGGTATTAAGAGAACCATCAGTATTATACTTTCTCCTAAACACCCATTTGCAACCTATAGGTTTAGATCCGGGTGGCAAATCGACAAGTTCCCATGTATTATTTGACATTATCGAATCCATTTCGTCCTTAATGGCATCTTTCCAAAAGATGTTATCACGCGAAGTCATAGCTTCTTTATAAGTTTTAGGATCAGTTTCCACTTGTAGAACAAAAGGAATTGTTCTTACAACATTCACACTATTTCCCTCTACCAAATAAAAGGAAATAAGTTGAGAGTCAATCTCATCCGATCCCAAGGACTTCGCTATTCGAGTTCTTTTGCTTCTTCGTGGTTCACTAGATTCATTAACATCTTTAGAAGATGTTTCATCTTGTGTTCCACTTGAGCTAGGGATATCATTATGAATTTCCCTCAATTCGTTATCCGAAGATAATGAATTCTCAAAGAACTCCACATCATTTGATTCGATAATCACATTGGTTTCTAAGTTCAATAACCTGTAAGATTTGCTATTATTAGCATATCCTACAAAAGCACATTTTATGCCTCTTGGACCCAATTTGGTCCGGTTAGGATTTGTGTTCTTACAATAAGCAAGACACCCCCACACTTTGAAATAACCAATGTTTGGTTTTCTTCCTTTCCACAATTCGTAAGGAGAAACCTTAGTGTTCTTAGAAGGAATTCTATTCAAAATCCTACATGCACTCAATAATGCTTCACCCCATAAATTAAATGGCAACTTAGCATACATCAACATAGCA